GTTTTAAGTATATAGTATTCATTGATTCATTCATTCAAGTAATAATAGAATACCTATTATCTAGATACTTTTTTAGTGGCAGAGGAATATAGATAGCAATGAATGTCATGTCGTTCATCAAATCTGCCTTGATAAGCTGTTTTCTTTTGAAAAGCAACCAAAAACAACAACAAACAACAAAAACCTCCCTGCTTACTTCCCAGTTTTTAATTTTTTATTAGGACTTTCTTTCACTTTATTTATGGATTTTCTTCTTTCACAAATTCCTTTCTCTCTCCACAGATTAAAGAAGAAAATACAAAGTAATTTTCTTCTTCACATCCTTTCTTGCTGATTAATGTTGCTTATGTTAGCTAGTCTTAGACTTCTGAAGATGACAAAATTAATGTTTGCTGTGTTGAGATAGAGTTTTTAGTGCTCTCCATTAAAAATTGAGACAATGTTTACACACTCTTACATGCTGTTTACCATTTCTGTTTATAATCCGTGAGGGGAAAAGGAGGCTCTTCATCTCACAAGAGTTTGAAAATTCTTTCAGAACATTTTCACAATATTGGTATGGAGGACTATTCTCATCTTCTTGACAAAATGTCAATGCATGGCCATGGTGCACTTGAAAGTGCATATCTGTTTTAGGCAGTCACTGAAGTTCAAAGACAAGTATGGGCTCCTAATGCTATCCGTAAAGTGTTTGGTCTTCCATATCCTCAAGAAAAAAATATATTTTATAAATTCTAACCTTTTCTTGTACACATTTAAGTAAGGTATCATGGGGATTGATTACCCAAACATCTTGGCTCTGGCAGTTTATATAGAATATGACTCCATGATAAGTGAGTCCAGTACTCTGAAATGCTGAGTAACCAAAAAGCTAAGTTATATGGCCAGGTGGCTGGCCTAGGGAGACATAACCCTTACTCTTCTTACCACAGATTGACAACCACAATCTCTTATGCCATTTTAGGGTGAAATATGTTAAGGACAGGTATGTGATAAATAGAAGTATAATGTGGAAGAACATATAATACAGGGAACTATAATGTTTAAGGACTATAATGTTGAGAAAGGTATCTGTGTGGGGAAACCTCGAAGTTGAACTGTTATATTTCAAATCAATCATTTCTAGTTATGGGGTCAGGACCTTAAATCTCTGGTAAAACATTTTCTGTTTGTCAAGGGAGCAATTATATTTTAGAGTTTTTCAAAATCATACTTAAATTAACCAGTGTTGTGTTTTTTAATTCATTTTGCACACTGGGCTAAGTCTACAATTAGTAGGATTTTCTTAGAAACATGATTTGTTGGTATTAGAATTATTCACAAATAACTTATGAACACTGTAATAGCAGCCTTATGGTTTGCAAATAAGAAAAAAGGCTATAATAAATAAAATATATTACATTTCAAGTCCTTTTTGAGTGGTATTTCTGTTGCCTTGATCATTTATGCTACAAATACTTATTGAGTACCTTCATGATATAGAAACTGCCATACTGTGATGAACAGAATATAGTTCCTGCCCCAAGGCACTCCCTGCCCAGGGTGGGAGAATGCTGGGTAAATAGACAACTGCCTGTCTGGAGTCCTCCCATGTGTTTGTGTACCCATTAGTATTATTCATAGAAACATAAATGCTGGAGCGCCTGGGTGGCTCAGCCGTTAAGTGTCTGCCTTCGGCTCAGGTCATGATCCCAGGGTCCTGGGATCGAGCCCCAAATCGGGCTCCCTGCTTGGCGGGAAGCCTGTTTCTCCCTCTCCCACTCCCCCTGCTTATGTTCCTGCTCTTGCTATCTCTCTCTCTGTCAAATAAATAAATAAATAAATAAAATCTTAAAAAAAAAAAAGAAACAATGCTGTATTGGCTTGTGAATCACCATATAACATCCCTGCTGATTACAAGTACATTTTCTTGAATATTGTACTTACTAGGACCTTTACTGTAAATTTCCCTGTCAGGAATCAGAAACCCTTCAGTATAAAACAGCGTTATCAGTCACATGAATGTTTCATCACTATAACATATGTGTTTGCAATGTGTTTAAATGGTTTTCTTCTCATTTCTATTACCTTCCTGGCTCGAGTCTTCATTACCTTGTCCCCACATTGTGGTCTCCTACCTGGTCTTTTCCCTCATCCTCATCGCACTCCAGTTCTTACTGACGTGTAAATCTTATCCTTATTTTAGGTGTTCCTAAAATCCTATTTCCATAAGTACATTTTCCTGGCCACTCCCTGTGACACTTATTTCTCTGAACTGTGGGGTTTTATATCTGTACAGTTTAGCACCAGGTCATTTTGTTGGAGGATGTTTTATGTGCATATTTTGCCTTCCTGGTATAGCAAGAAGCTCCTTCCAGAGAGGAAGTCATGTCTTATGAGCTCTGACTAAACTGCCATCTAGGTAAGTCTAGTGAATGTCTTGTGAAGTTTTCTTTTTTAAATTCTTTATTTAAATTCCATTTAGTTAACATGTACTATAATATTACTTTCAGGGATAGAGTTTAGTGATTCATCAGTTGCATACAACACCCAGGGCTCATGAGATCAAGTATCCTCCTTAATGCCCATCACCCAATCACCCCTTCCCCCACCCACCTCCCTGCCAGCAACCCTCAGTTTGTCTCCTAGCGTTCAGCATCTCTTATGGTTTGCCCTCCTTTCTATTTCCATCTTATTTTATTTTCCCTTCCTTTCCCCTCTGTTCATCTGTTTTGTTTCTTAAATTCTACATATGAGTGAAATCATATGGTATTTGTCTTTCTCTGACTTATTTCGCTTAGCATAATACACTGTTGCTCCATCCATGTCATTGGAAATGGCAAGATTTCATTCTTTTTGATGGCTGAGTAATATTCCATTATATATATATATATATATATATATATTCTTTATTCATTCATCTGTCGATGGACATCTGGGCTCTTTCCATATTTTGGCTATTGTGGACATTGCTGCTATCACCTTCTACCTCCCTCTCCTGCACCTCATCTTCTGGGATCCCTATTACCCAGATATTATTTCGCTTTATGGGATCAGTGAGTTCTCTAAGTCTCCCTTCATGATCCAGTAGTTTTCTGTCTTCTTTTCAGCTTCCTTATTTTCCATCATTTTATCTTCTATATCATTGACTCGCTCTTCTGCCTCATTCATCTTTGTTTTTATATCCTCCATTTGGGACTGCATCTCAGTAACAGCATGTTTAATTTCGGCCTGACTACATTTTAGTTCTTTTATTTCTACAGCAAGGGATTCTCTAGTGTCTTCTATGCTTTTCTCAAGCCCAGCTAGTATCTTTATAATCATTGTTTTAAACTCTAGTTCAGACATCTTACTTATATCCATATTGATTGAATCCCTTGCAGTGAGTACTACCTCCTGTTCTTTCTTTTGGGGGTGAATTTCTCTAGCTCGTCATTTTGTCTAGAAAAGAATAAAAGAAGAAAGAGAAAAAACAATAATAACAACAACAGATAAAAAACAAACCAGAAAAAAACAAAAACAAAACAAAACAAGAAAAAAACAAGAAACAAAACAAAGCAAAGAACTAGACTGGGTGTGTTTTGGTCTGCTTGTTAAAAGAAATGAGATCCCAAAATAAGAAAGAAAGAAAGCTTATATATATACAAAAATAAAATAAAATACAATGAAAGGAAACAAAAATAATATACATATATACCATATATATAAAAATAAAAATTATGAAAGAATAAAAAATTAATTGAAAAATAAGACTAACTGAAAAAATGATACTGAAAGACTAAAGAATAATAAATAATAATAAAAAAAATGCTATATACTGTTTTCCCCAAGAGCTGAAGCTTTGCAGCCCTCTATGATCAGTAAGCTTGGTATGAGCCAATTGTTCCTGCTGGTCTTCTGGGGGAGGGGCCTTTTGCACAGATTCTCAGGTGCACTTGCCCTCTTGCACATGTGCCTCTCTTGCTAGGAGGCTGGGCTGTAAGCAACTCCGGATTCCACTGTGGTGCTGTTTTGTTCCCTGAAGGCTTTCAGCACTGATGGGTGGGATGAATAGGACTGTGCCCTGCTCTCTAGCCCGGGAGCTGAAAATTCGTGCCCCCCGCTCTTCAGTGAGCCCTCAAAGAAAAGCAGTCAATCACTCTTGTCTCCCTGGTTTCTGAACTCTGTGTTCACCCAGCCTGTGACCAAGCGTTTTTATCTCAGGCACATGACTGAATTTCAAAACTCTAAATTTTAAGGACTCCTGCAGTGTGGACCTGCACTGTTCCTCCCCAGGGAGGGAGAGGGTCTTGCCACGCTTCTGCCTTTTGCTGGACCACTGTCAGGAAAGCGGTCACACGACTGTGCAGCGGTTTGCAGTTTATGGCAACACCAAGCAGAGGGCTGGCACCTCGACTCACTGTTCTCAGCTGCTTCCCCACTCCTGTGCCTGGGAACTCTGCTGCACCCAGGCACCCCCGTTCTTCTTGTGACCCCAGGGATCCTGAGACCATGCTGTCACACCTGGGATTCCACGCCGCGTTACCTCCTGAGCACCTTTAAGCCCAGGACATCCCTCACTGTAGCAGACTTCTAAAAGTTTCAATTTTGTGTTCCGCTGCTTACAATACCTTGTGGTAGCCTCCTTAAGCAGGCTCCTTCCCCTCCGCCATATCCTCAGATATATCACCCCAGATTCGAGTCTCTGCACCTCCTGCCTTCCATAGAGTGGTCGCCTTTCTACTCATAGAATTGCAGCATTTCTTTTCTCAGATCTCTGATTGATTTTGCAGGTGTTAAGAATGATTTGATAATGACCTAGCTGTATTCGAGGGACCAGGCAAAGTTAGGGTCTCCTACTTCTCCACCATCCTAACTCCATCCCTGTGAATTTTTTTCTTAAATTAGACCCTCAAAGCATTAGGCATAGTACTGAGCATGCAATACAAATTCAAAAGTCACATCCTGAAAGGCTGCAATACCAAGTTGTTCTAGTGCCAGTGTACACTTGCTCAATGTAATATTCAAAGTGAGTTACTTACTAAGGCAAATTTTTTGTTGAGAATCATCTGCTCCACCAAAGATGACTCATTATGGAAGAGGTGGGGTTGCATATGGCTCCACATATGAGGAAACCACCAAAACTCATCCACAGACCCCAGAAGATGGTCATCCCCTTCATCTTCCTCTTCCGTTCCTTCAGGGGAAAAAGGTTGTTAATTCCAGTTACAATGATTGTCTGCCCATCCATCCATCCATCCATCCATCCATCCATCCATCCATCCATCATCTATCCAATTATGTACTCGCATATATGTATTTAGAAGACACCATTTATACTTTCTTTGATACATAGAAGGCTTTGAACATGAAGTGTAGCAAAGAAAAACCCATTACTCGGGGAACAACCAGAGACTGTGACAAAACTCTTTTAAAAGTTTTTCAACATGAGACATAGGTATAAAATTACTGCAAAACGGAAATATGCAACCATTCCCAAGGACATTAGAACTCTTTTAGTGTCTTTGTATAAGCTGTAGTTTAGAGAGAATGGGGAGATAAGCAGAAAATGGAATCAAGGGAATGTGAATAAAGAAATGAGTGGCAGATCTCCAGCAGCAGGTCATTCTGACATGGGTTGTGACACCACAGTCACAATAAAATAATTCCATAATTTATTTGGGTTCATCATTAGCTCTGAGAAGAAGTTACTCCATATTTAGTGAAAACTAAGGCATAAACAAGGAGGAACAAAGGAAATGTAGGAATTGTTATTTGGAAAATTAGAGAAAACTGAAGGGAAGAAAGGAGAAAGGATGAAAGAGGCTGAGAAGTGGTAAAGTCATAGTAAAACAAGACGAGCAGCTCCTTGGTGGTACACATGTTTCTCATGCTTGTTCTTTCTCTCACGTTCCTGGAAGCAGATTTTCCATCAAGAAACTCCTATTTCCTTGAGAGTCAGCCCTGTTGTCATTCTTATTTTTCCTATTTGGGCATGTTTTATTTCCTCCATTTTCCCTGACCTGCAGTTTAGTTGAGTGTGGGAAATTCCTCAATTTTCTTAACTTGAGGGGGGATAGGACTGTCTCGGCTTCTTTACTAAAGCATGAAATGAGAGCAGTAGAGGGTGCCTCACTACTATCCTGTCATATCATAAGATGTTATTAATCATCACAAAGTTAGGCAACCACACTTAAATTTCAGCCACAACACTGAATCTAACAAGCTCCTAGAATATAGAATAGTAGGTTCTTCAAATGATGTTCCCTCTGTGTGGAGAAAATGTTCTCTCATATTTTCAAAAATTTCATTTTTCTGGGGACTCAGTCAGTTAAGCATCTGCCTTTGGCTCGGGTCATGATCCCAGGGTCCTGGGATCGAGTCCCACATCGGGCTCCTTGCTCGGCGGGGAGCCTGCTTCTCCTTTGCGCCTGCCGCTCCCCCTGTTTGTGCTTTCTCTCTGAAAAATAAATAAATAAAATCTTGAAAAAATTTCATTTTTCTGATATGACTGGTTTCAATAGTGCCCTATAGGCTAACGATGGAGGGCAGACTGCTCCCCTCACCCAGCTAATTAAGCCCAGTGCCTGTTACTAGTGCTCTTCTTTTCATTTTCCCAAGAGAAGGAAGGCAGAGCCCACTGGCAGGAAAAGAATCAGATTCCTATGGTTTACTGGGCAGTGAAAGTGACTTACCAAAGATAAAAGCATAGCGTAAGGCAGCATAATGTAGAATGAGTGGAATCACATAATTCTTCAAAAGGACAGATTTTAATTTCACTTTTATATGGTTAAATACTCTGCTGATATGAAGAAACTTTTTTCTTTATATATAAAGGGCACCTTTAAATTTAATCTGTTTTAGTTCCTTAATATTTTCCTCTTCATCACACATTCATGTTACCATAATATTGTGGAACAAGGAGAGCCTTTAGAGTTAGAAGTTTTTAGTTTATTTGTAGCTCCCGACACACTTGAATTGTGTGATTGTGGGCAAGTCCCATAACCCCTTTAGTGTCTGTATTTATGTAGGTAAAAGATGGATAGCAATACCTATTTTATTCTTTTGGGGAGGAAGTGGCACTATAATCCTGGCACATATTAGGTAATCTAAAATGCCTTTTTCCTTTCTTTTTATGTTTCCTACTCTTGTTCTCCTTGCTTCTTTTGTGGGTCTCCTTGAGTTTTATTTTTTTCCATGATAATACTGCATGACGGTGTGGTGGGATGTCTCACCTGGGTGTTATGTGGCAGATGGGACACTGTGTTCAAGAACTGACCGCACCATCTTATTAACTGACTGGTTTGATTAGTGAGTCACCAGCAAAAGCCTTCTTGGGGCTTCTGAGTGATTATTTTACAGTTCAGGGAAAACTTCTAGAGAGGAAAGCAAAGGAATAGGAATATATGGATTCAGGATTTAGAATCTCTGATGACCCCAATCATTGCAGGGTCTTGGGTCCTGCTACCTTTTAGGTGATAAATATGGTGGCCATGGTGAAGAAACATTTGTTACATTGACTGGTGATGCTTACATATATGGTTTTTTTGACATAAGGATGATTTAATCTAGTTTCCCCACAATTAAACTTCTCTACTTACATCCAAGAGGCTCTCCTCTTTCTTAACATTTTGTATATCCTGAGGATACCATATTAGTTAAGATTACCATCAGTTACTTATTGCAGTTTTACTTTCCTTTGAAAAGAGGCATAAGTCTCTTGGGGTTTCCCAGTAATCAGCGCATTCCCACCTTCCACTCCTCTGGATAAACTGAATGTGGGTAGAGATGAGATTTCCTAGATTATGAAAAGTCACCCGTCTACTCCTTTAAATCTCTATCCTCTGCCCCCTATAACTTTTATCTTTCCCTGCATCTTCTCATTCCTCTTTTGTTCATTTTTCTAGTTGGACTTTACCCAAAGTTTCTATATCAGGACAGTGGAAAGGTAGCTTTGAAAGGATAGCTCAGGCATTTGTTTTCCTTTGCTGAATATCATGGTGAAATCTGCTATTAAAATATTCATATATTTGAATCCCACAGGAATTAGACAAATGATGTTTGCCCTCTTTATATAGATTCATAGTAGGCATAAATGTGTACCTTTTCCTTTTTCTTTATAACTATTTCTGATCTGATTTCATTTGATCCTACTTTGGGGAGGTTTTCCATCAGAATTAATTATATTGAGAACAAGTGTCTATTGCTTATTACTTTAAACATAATGATAAAAAGCAGTTGAAACATAGCTGTGGTTGGCCGTGGGTACTTGCCACCCTTTTATCTCCTGACTTTGTTAGAACTGGAGGAAGGGAGAACTAGAAGTCAAATTCCTCAATTTTAAGTTGTTACAAAACTACACTGAGATCTTATAAAGTTATTGCAAATTATTTTATTAGGTATCTACTTAAATAACTTATGTCTCTACAGTATTTTATCTTCTGTTTTTCCTACCATAATATTGAAAATCATCATTGACTGACATTCTGCCTTTTGTCAAGCATTGTGTTAACTATTTTATAAGCATCATCTCATTTAACTCTCACTAAAACCCTATGAGATAAGGACCACTGCTAACTCTATTCTTCAAATAAGGAAACTGATATTTGGAAAGGTGAAATAATTTGTCCCGTGTCACTAACAAGGTTGGAACAGAACCTCGTTTCTTACTGGGAATTTTTATTTTGAGTTGTGGGAGGTGCTCAAGTAAGGAAAGAGGAGGAATCTTTCAGAAACAACAAGGAAACACAGCAACTGGCTAGAGTCATTGTTTAGCTTTCAGAATTGGACAAAAAGTTGAGTTGCCAGGAGTATTTTCTTATATTTCTATTATGTTTGGGAAAGAAAGCTTTTAATTATTCTTAGTATTTACAGTGTTTTTCTTTCACAACACAACATGGTCAAATTTTATTCTCCAACCTATAAATTCTAACCCAGATTAAACAACTGCAAATTCACGGCCCTTAACTATCATTAACTGACCAAATTTGGAATTTAGAAATAAGATCATCATTTACTAATTCTATATAACATTGCTCTTCACACTGTTAATTAATTCTGTGATTTAGTTAGAATTTACCAATACTGTTGGTTCTCCATGATTTGGGGAAATATACATACCTAAGGAACCTATAGATAAGAGGAAGGAACCCTTTGCCATTCAGCTTCCTTTATCAAGGATTGCCAATTAAGCAATAAAAATCCAATTTAGCTAACACATAGGACTTGGGCTCTCCCTGACCTAAAGTTAAGACTATTTTTGACACTTAACTAGCTATATGACCTTGGGCTCCTCTCAGTTTCTACATTCTTTCTTTTTTAAAGATTTTATTTTTTATTTGACAGAGAGGTAGAGAGAGAGCAGAAGCAGGGGGAGCGGCAGGCAGAGGGAGAGGGAGAAGTAGGCTCTATAAGCAGGGAGCCTGATGTGGGGCTCGATCCCAGGACCCTGGAATCATGACCTGAGCCAAAGGCAGACACTTAATGACTGAGCTGCCCAGGCACTCCAGTTTCTACATTCTTATCTAGAAAACAAGGTAACATATTCTTTAACTCCTAGGCTTCATTGAAAAGGTGCATGAAAAGTGCTTAGCTAAGTTCCTACAATAAGGTGTTGCTCACTAAAAGGGAACTATGAATTTATTTCCTTCATCTCTTTATGTTTCAAAAATGCACAAACCCTTCAAAAACTAAAATATATCAAACAAGATGGAACGCTCTCTGGAAAGAAAGTCTTACTATTATGATAGTGCTATTTTTCTCCTTCCCTTCAAGATTGAATAAAATAGAATTTTTAATAGGAAAAGGAATTACTCATTTAGAAAGGAAGACAATGCAATTCAATTAAACTTTACAATTTCTCACTTTGAAAGATTCAGAGTATTAAATCTTACATCTGTTCCCACTAAAAAAATGATTGTATTAGCTTTAGATAACCCTAGCTAAGTTTTTGTAGAAGCTTTCATATCATACGCAGATAAGATCCCTTCAAGCCTTGGCTTTGTTCTGTGTTCTTTCCTTGGCTTAGGTAGTGGACATTCTTACTGTTAGCTGTGGGAAGTGCCCAAGTAAGGAAAGAGGACAAATCTTTCAGAAACAAAAAGGAAGGAGAGCAATGGGCTAGAGTCACTCTTTAGCATTTAGCATTGGGCAAAAAATAAGTTGCCAGAAGTGTTTTCTCCTATTTCTATTATGTCTGGGAAAGAATGTTTCTAATTATTCTTTTTTTTATAAAATATTTTATTTACTTATTTGACAGAGAGAGACATAGCAAGAGAGGGAACACAAGCAGCAGGACTGGGAAAGGGAGAAGCAGGCTTCCCGCAGAGCAGGGAGCCCGATGTGGGGCTCGATTCCAGGACCCGGGGATCATGACCTGAGCCGAAGGCAGATACCTAATGACGGAGCCACCCGGGCGCCCCTCTAATTATTCTTCATATTTAGAGTGATTTTCTTTCATAATGCAACATGGTCAAATTTTATTCTCTGGCCTTGTTTCATAAAATATGAAGAGTTAAAATAAAAGTGATTTTATTTTCACTCAGTCATTTGTTCATTAATTCATTTTCAATAGCCACTGTCCTAGTTGCTGGTGTTACAATAGTGAAGCCTTCATGGAGTGTTCATTTTAGTAAGGGAAGAGAGCCAACAGATAAATAATTTAAAGATAAAGTGCATTCAACACCCATTCATGACAAAACTCTTAGTCATCTAGGAATGGAAGGGAGCTTCCTTAAGCTAATAAAAGAGGGTCTGGGGCACCTGGATGGCTTACATGGTTAAGCGTCTGCCTTTGGCTCAGGTCATGATCTCTGGCTCAGTGGGAAGTCTGCTCTCCCTCTCACTCTGCCTCCCCCTGCCCATGTGTGCTCTCACTCTCAAATGAATAAATAAAAGTCTTAAAAAAAAGAGTGTCTACAAAATAGTCTATTGAAAGAATTCCCCTTGAGAATAGGAAAAAATCTACTGAAAGATTTCCACTGAGGTCCAGAAAAAGACACGAGTGTCACCGTGACTACTTTAATTTTGTACTGGAGATCTAAGCTAGTGTAATAGGGAAGGAAAAAAAAATTGTAAGGCTCAGAAAGGAGGAAGGACAATTTTTAATTATCCAAAAATTACATGATGTATTGGTAGGAAATCCAAAAATAGTCTACAAACTATAGAAATAATAAGTGAACATAGCAAGATTGCTATATACAAGATCAGTACACAAAATCAATTGTATTTTTACATACCACCAACAAAAAAATGGAAAATGAAATAAAAACAAGACACTATCTGCTATTGCATCAAAAAACTGCACCAAAGAATAAATCTGAAACCAGGAAAGTTTTATGAAGTGTAATTAAAAATGACCTAAATGTGCTCAATGATTGGATGGCTCAATATTTAGGATGGCCTCTCTCCCTCAAATTAATAGATTTAATGCAATCTTAATCAAAATACTAGCATGTTTCTTTGTGGATACTGGTAAGCTGAAATTTATATGAAAATGCAAAGGGCCAAGAATTTCCAAGGCAATCTTGAAGAAGATGAGCAAAATTGGAGAACTTACACTAGCAGATATTAATATTAATTATAAAGTTACAGTAAATAAGATAGTGTGACGTAGACAAATAGATCTAAGGAACAGGAGAGTCTAGAGTTGACATATATGGTTATATATGTCAACGATGATACTAGGGTGCAGTGGGAAAAGGAAGGTCATTTCAGTACTTGATGCCAATTAGATATTTTTATAGCAAAAAGAAGATATCTTGACCTGTATCTCACACATACACAAAAATCAATTCCAGATGGATTTCAGATTTATAAGTTTTAAAGAATGTAGGAACATATTTTTTAGGATCTTATAGTATTCAAAGATGTCTTTAAAAAGACACAAAAAGGTGACCACTAAAGGAACAAAAAGTTGAACTGGACTACATGAAGTATTTTTGGTCATCAAAAAACACCATTAGGAGTATGAAAATACAACCCACACAATAGGAGAAAGTATTTGCAACACATATAACTGACAAAAGGCTCATTAAGAATGTATAAAGAAAAAAAAGAAAAAAGAATATATAAAGAATTTCTACAAATCGATAAGTAAAAGCATACAACCCTATAGGAAAAAAAAATCTCAGATAGTTCACAAAAGAAGATACCCAAATAGCCAATAAATACATGAAATAAGCTCAATTTCACTGCTCATAAGAGAAATGTACATTAAAACCATAACATATCTTTACATGCTCACCAGAAAGGCTAAAATTAAAAAGACAAATAATACGAAATGTTAGTGAGAATGTGGAAGAACAGGAAAACTCATATAATGTTGGGAATGTAAATTGATACAACCATTTTTGAAAAACTGGCATTTTCCTACTAAAGTTGGCCATAAGTGTGCTATATAACTAAAAATTCTAGTTTTAGTTGACAGTCAACAGAAAAGAATAGTTATGTCCTATGAAGGACAGGTACAAAAATGTTCTTAACGTGATTATTCAAAAAAAGCTAAAGACTAGGAAAAAACCCAACCATCTACATTGGAAAGGAATGGAATAAAGAAATTTTGGTATATTTAAACAATGGAATGCTATAAAGTAGTGAAAATGAAAGAATTACAACTATATATATATATAACTATATATACAACTATATGTAACTATAATATCTGTAAAAACGGAGTAATGTTGAACAAAACATGTGGCTATAGAAGAGTCCATACTGTATGATTCCTTTTATACACATCTCAAAGCCATGCAAACTAGTTTGTGATATTAGAAGTCAGGATAGTTGATTTTTTTGAGGGAGGCTAGTGACCATGAGGAAGCACAAAGTGGGTTGCAGGGGGGATTTGGTACCCTTCTTTCTCTTGATCTGCATGCTGGCTTGTGAAAATTCACTGAGCACTACACTTATTACTTATGCACTTTTATCTATGTAAATTATAGTTCAGTAGAAAAGGAAGGCCATTAGGCCATTATAACATGGTGAGTAAACTTTCAAACCATCAACATTTTGTAAAGGTTAAAAAATGATATATTAATTAAGTGGAATTGAGTAATATGAAGAAAATAAAAATGGAGAGAGACATGGAATGTGAGAAGGTATGAAGAGAAGGGGTCACAATTTTTGAGTAGTCAGAGAGGCCTTATGAGAATAATTAACCTTTTTCTTACCTGTATGGTAAAATTTTCCTGAAAATCCCAGGTTGAACGTAAAATTTGTGATTTGTGCACGCAAAAGGTTCTGAGTGTCAAGCAGGGCCTGAAATACACAGTTGGAGTATTGTGTTAGAGAATGGCATTGAGAAGTTTTAAAAGATATCTTCCTTTTGCATTCAAGGGGTAAAACTAGTGTCTAGGTAAGGGGTAAAAATGATGGAAAGTAGTGTCTTTACCACTTTACAACTAGAGAGATGCTTTGAAGATTCCGCAAACATATACATATATTTATCCTTTAGCTTGCAATAAATCAGCAAAAAGTTCAGCTAGAAAAAGGAAGTTGCATGAAAAGTTTATTCTGCATATATTAAAGGAATTATTAACTAGTACATAAAATATATCTCCTTTCACTTCTCAGGGACATAGATCACCAACTGTCAAAAGAAGGACACTCTTTAAGTGAAACTATGCAAGAATATATGTTGAAAGAATCATTATTATTTCTCAGATATGTCTTTGGTCCTCAAAATCCAAGACTTCAATCTTTGAGTCTTAGATTCCCACAAGATAGTGACTGTTCTTCAAAAGAGGATATCACGATAGAGTAAATCTCTAATTTGGCCTTTCATTAAAAAACAAACAAACAAAAACCTCTACTCTGACAGTAAAACTCTTTTAAAACAGGGTTTTAAATGTTACATCTTATAAAGTATTTACCATGCTATGAATTTTTAATGGACTTCCTTTTTTCCTTCTCCTTCTTTTCTTTCTCATTTAAATTCCTATTTTTCTATTCCTTCTGTCCCTGCCATCCTCCCTACACAGACTATGGTAGTTGAGTACCCACTTCAACTAGGCAGAAAGTAACACTAAATGTTAGATTTGTAAAGCATCTTAGTTAACACTTCTTTTACACACAGGGAAACTGAGGAGAGATGACTTGCTCATTTTCACAGATAAAATTAGATTAAGTAGATTAAGGTAAATCGTGGATTAAGGATACAGATTCCTAGATTCCATATTAGATACTCTTTCCCCCCCTTTCCATAGTATAGCTGGGCCCACAACAAAATCTTTTTTTTAGCAGCAAAGCTGACACCCAGAAGCCCTGCCCCATAATGTTCAAGGTTTCAATCTTTTTTGGGGGATATAAATAGATATCCTTTTATTCAGAGATTACCCCATGATTGTATGCCTTATCTGTGCATATAAGTGATTCTCCTTATTGTGTAAAAACAGAGGAAGAGGACTTTTGAATCTCAGATTTAAATTCATCTGACCAATGACAAGTTTTTGAAAATTAGGTATCTAAATTTTTTTCTCTGACTACTCTGTTTACTTGAACAACTTCCTTTGATTGCACAACTGAACTGGGAAATATGTGGGTCCTGAGGGCGCTCAAAGATGGAAGACAGGTCTGTTTGTGGATTTCCATGCCTAAGTATCAAAGCAAAAGGGTTAATGATGGCAATGTCATTGGATGGCAATTAGATTCTGTCATCATAAGGCCTTGGCATGGGCTGGGCAGGGGAAGGAGAATTTGGTCAGCTCAGCAGTGACAAAGTAAATAGTGGGACCCAGAATCCTGTTGTGTGAAGGGGTGGGGAGTGGTGCCACCTGGATGTAAGGTGTGAGCCTTTCTCTTTTTGTCCTTATGGAAGGAACATAAGGTATGGAATAGGAAGGTATGGATTGAAGTGCCAGCTCTGGGACTTACAGCGAAGGCATTTAGGACTTGGGAGTCAGATTGCCTCAGCTAGAATTCTAGATCTGCCCCTATTCAGTATTGGGCATGTTATTAAAATTTTCAAACCTCAGACGCATCACATGTAAAGTAGGGATAATAATAATAATCTCAGAGCACTATTGTGAGGATGACATACTTCTGTGCTCTTGGCACCGTGACTGGCACATAATAGGTGCTCAACAATTACTAGTTGCTGCTCCTCTATTATTGCTTCGGTTACTATCACTACTATTTACATGGTTGTTGTTATTGTGAGTGATGTTAGACAATTCATATTCTCTGAACTTTTCCCTTCATTTGCTAGAGTGGAGACAATTATCTAACTCCTAGAGTTGTGATGAGGATTATAAAAGAGGTAATATATGCAGGAGGGCTTAATAAGCATTTTTTAAAAAGTGGCATAAAATATTAGGTGTTGATATAATTATCAGCAATCATAATATACATATGTATATATATTTTAAAAGATTTATTTACTTGAGAGAGAGAGAGCATGAACTGGGGGAGGGGGGAGAGAGAGCGAGTGCGAGTACGCTCCTGCACATTGGCGGGGAGGAGAAGAGGGAGAGAATCTCAAGCAGACTCCCCACTGAGTACAGAACCAGAAGCTGGGCTGATCGCATGACCCTGAGACCATGACCTGAGCCAAAATCAAGAGTCAGATGCTTAACTTACTGAGCCACCCAGGCGCTCCTATATATATATATATAATATATTACTGACAATTATATCTTCTGTCTCATTTACTTAAAGTCGTTTTTCTCATTTTATTGACCTACAGTCTCCTTCTTCTTTTTCACTTCTCCCCAGTTGAACATGCTAGCTGGGTCTTCCTTCCCTTTTGATCTTATCTTCTTCTTTATCCATCTTACTCACTTCATGTATTCATTCTACTCACTTTATTCAATGGTTAAAATATGGATTTGAAATCCATTTTAAAATAATTTCTTGTGTGTTCGATGCTTTACAGTTGGAAGTTTTTCTTTTTGTCTCTTCGAAAATAAAATCCCCAACTAAACTTGAACTTGAACTTTGCTTTGTGACTCTTGATTGCCTTTTAAAACTTAAAATACTTGATAAGAAAAAAACAAACAAGCCTATCTCGTTCTGAGGTCTTAGAAGCTAAATAATGTACCTGTGAACTAACCTCTAAATCAACTAGAATACATTGATTCAAATTATTGAACAAGACCTGATTATGCAGGTTTGAGTTGGCATTTTACACATTTATTTGACATTGTAGAAACAAACACTGAAGCACATAAAAGATAGACTGAAACAGATGGTAGATACTAACATTATGCCTATATATGGTGAGGAGGGAAATTTATTTCTAAATGATATTTTATATACTTAAGGTAAACAGTAATATTTCTTATCTTTTATATATTTTTTTGTGAACCAGATTTTGGGGGTATCTATGAGAACAATGTTATGTATTCATCCATTACTTCCCTCTCTTCAAAATATGCTTTTGTGCTAGAAGCTAGAGCACTCAGTGGTATTCTTAGATGATACCCTTTTCATTAAACTCTTCATTGCTAGAATGATTTTATTCAACATTAGTCTATTTAAAACTGAGATAGTCTATTATTACTATGAATAAAATATTACAAAACTGATATAAATGATACTTTGCTTTATTCTTTATGTGCAACATGCCAAAAGTGGTGTGATAATATCTAAAAATCTAAGCATAATAAGCGAAATCAATGTTCTAATACCAAATTCAGAAAACCACAGGCATTTTGGGTAAGCAAACCCTCTATGATGTGCAGAGTACTTTGGTCATGGAGAAGGTAAAGAATCACAACCACCTGCAGAGGTACCATTTAGTGGTCTCCTCCAGGCCAAGAACCCTAAGAACATAGATTTCTACTGTCAGGAATGGTCTGATTATTGAAAAATGGTACTTTTATTTTTAACTATTCCAAAACTTTTTATATATATAGCAAGGTAATTTATAATTCCATGCATTAGTAATTATTTTTAAAACAACACGTTACTTTTTCTAATTAAAAACTCAAAATCACTAATAAATCCACCTCTCAAGATAAGTTAATAATTATGATGGAATTCTTTCCCCCTTTTACCAATAACTACCCAATTATATGTAGATCTATATAGGTATAGGTAAGTGAAATTAGAGCCATCAAGTAAAAATTAGAACTATGCCAATTATTGCTAAAAATATAGTTTCAAATTTTGCCTTGTCATCCATCTATCATCTATCTATCTATCTATCTATCTATCTATCTATCTATCTACCTACCTATCATCTATCTATCCATCTTTTAAAGATTTTATTTGCTTATTTGAGAAAATGAGAGAGGGAGAGACAAGCAGGGGCAGCAGCAGAGGGAGAGGGAGAAGCAGACTCCCCGCCGAGCAGGGAGCCTGACGCAGGGCTCGATCCCAGAACCCCGAGATCATGACCTGAGCTGAAGGCAGCTGCTTAACTGACTCAGCCACCCAGGCGCCCCACCTTTGTCATTTAATAGTATATTAGGAAGCTTTCTCCTGTCACATTAACCTTCCAAAACCAAATTTGTTAATGAGTGCAGAATACCGCATCAGATTGGTGCCCTATAATTTATTTAACCGTTTCATCTTACTCCTGTACATTTAGGTTGTTTACATTTTTTGCAGAATATAAATACTGCTCTCTGTGTCAATACATATTTATATAACAATGTGGTAGCCAGTTCTGCAGGAGATAGGAGGATAAGAATAATTCTGCTTATTCTTTGGCAAACAAAACAATTTTTCAGCAAATTTGAAAATGCTATGAAAGTATTAAAAGAGAACATAACATCCAGTTAAAATTATAAGAAATTGAACTATGAATATAGTTTAACATGAAAATTTGACTATTTCCAAAATGATTTTTTCAAATTTTGAATATGTATATGCTATCGTGCTTAGTTTTTTGAGGGTTCATTCTACAAAGCTAAAAGCACTTGCAGGCATTAAAAAATCCAGTTGAAGGCCAAGAAGATCTAATTTAAAGAAACTGAGCTCTGAGAACTGAGCAAAATGGGAGCTTTTATATATTTTTGGACTTTCTCCAACTTTCATTAACAGAATGAATATATCAATTAAAGTAAATTGAAGACAAAATTTAAAAATAACTGCAAAAAATGGAGATTCACATTAGTATTCATTACATGTGTGACATTCTTTGAGGGAACGTTTACTAACTTTGTGTTTCTTATCTGTGTTTCCCAGATGATATTTTGACCTGTTTTATCTTTTATAAGGTAACTAAAGGAGTTGTGAGCCAAATTAAAGCTGGTGAAGAAATTTTAGTGCTGGGTGTGTTTTTCTAGCAATAGGCAAAAATAGTGTTTTAGCAC